CATTTTAATGAGGTCATCATAGTACAAAATTCAATTAAAGGCCACATGTCAGAATTTTCGTCATTTGCGTGTTATGTCTATGGAAGGTGAATTTCGTTCACATCATGAATCTACATGGCATTCATCTATGAGCACTATCTATCTTATGTGTGCTCTGTTTTCTCCCAAATTGGGGTATATTATAGCTGAGACCATGGGCTATAAAAACGGTGCTTTTAGTTTTTTGATCAGATGTAGGGATCATATCACAATTTTCAGTTGAATGTTGAAATGATGAATATGTCACATATGTCCTATTTGTGAAACTTAAACGTTAGCAGTGTCCTCGTATTGAAATTATGTAAGGAAACCCTTTTACTTTCTAGACTTTACTCTCAGACACTATTGAGTGACTGACTGACATCTTTTTTTCTCTGGTAATAAAATACATAAAATGAGCGTTATAGAGAACATGAGCATTCGGCTACATTAATAACCCACTCTGTTCTCATTGTTCATTTCCTATTTAAGACTTGAATAATGACGAACTTCATTCAATATTTGGTAGTAATACTACAGATACTTATACTGATATCAATGATTTAAACTATTTATCCGAAAAAGAATATGAGTTTCATTTCAGTAGGTTTCTGAACTGTAAATATTATATTGATGAGGATTTTACGACTGAATTCAGTAACATTAACTATCATTTTAGTATTTTACATTTTAATTCGCGTAGTTTAAACAAAAATTGTAATGCTTTATCCATTTTCATCTGTACTTATGTATAGAAACTTGGGTTAATGATAGTACGCCACTATTATTCAATGTGTCTGGTCATTCATTTATACATTTTAATCGCCAAGTAGAAAAGGGTAGAGGTGTTGGTCTATTGCTCGCTGACAATTTTGAATATGAAATACGCAATGATATATTTATATTATACCCATCATACAACTATGAATCACTGTTTATTGAAAGCAATTTGCCGAGACATAAGAATATTATTGTAGGTGTCATATATAGGAAACCCCAATCAAATATCAATGATTTCATCCCTGTCTTTGAAAATGTTTTACAAAAAACTTATACTGAACATAAACAGGTTTATATAATGGGAAAATTTTAACATTGATCTTGTAAAATTTACTGGCAATGCTGTATGTAAGTTCTTGAGCGCAATACATTAAACAAACATTATTCCTTTAATTGATATAAGCCTTCGAGAAAGACTGACAGATCAATATCCCTCATTGATAATATATTTACAAATAATTTTGATCTGTATGATTCTTCTGGTTTGTTTTACAATGATATATTTGGTAATTTCCCAATATTTCAAATAACACAAAAACAGTTTCCTATTTATAACACTCGTATTGTTAATGATGTACCTCTTAATGTTTTCAAAAAGGATTTGTTATGTAATGACTGGATAATCGTGTTGCCAATACCAAGTTCTTGTCTATTCTTATTGACGAAAACTTATCCTGGAAAACACATATCTCATATTAATACGACAGGGTCTAGGAATACTGGTGTCATCACCAAACTCCGCCATACTTTGCCTCAATCTGTTTTTCTTATGTTATACAATACACTTACAGTACCGTTTCTTAGTTATTGCAAGATTGTTTGGGCAAATGGATGGGTTATGGATGGGTAAAATATTAATATCTTACTCATGTTTTATATTAAATCAGAACTAAATAAATCACCATGTACATTTTGTAATATTGACAAAAAGAAGTGTTTTGAGCTTGTTTAGTATAGGTAAACAGTTTTATCCTCTATTGAAAACCTCAAGGGGGCGCTGTGCCACTTTCAATCATGGTCATCATTCTAATATCGTCACATGAGCATACGTATCACCTAATTCGTCTAAGTGACGAATTAAAGTCTAGTTATTATTACTATTATTATTATTATTATTATACTTACAGAGCCAATGAACTGAGTAGATTCTGGGGTCATGAGGTCAAAGGTCAAAGGTCATGGGGCTCATGGGGCTCATTATGTATGCAAAAATAGCTTGTGAACGCATTCTCATTAGAACTGACAGATGGATTACTATCAAACTCAGGACTTGTATGTATCACTATCAAACTCAGAACTTGTATGTATCTTGCAGAGCCAATGAACTGTTTAGATTTTAGGGTCATGAGGTCAAAGATCAAAGGGTCATACATGTATATGAGATAAAGCTTGTAATTACGATATTCTGAGAGCCTTTTAATGGTTTACAATCAAAGTTGAATTTTAGAAATTGCTTCTGTTTTGTTTGGTAAAATCGCTATATGGCGGAGGCATCATTTTCGACTGCGCGCAGTCGAAGGTCCATCCAGTGTTTTTTTAAATCATGAAAATTTTGTCTTTGTTAATTTGCATTCCTATTACGCACTAGTGAACAAGTTTACCCACCCGTACTCAACTTGCGATGTATAGTTGTTCTCTATTTTTTTCCCCCATACGTGGGAAATCTGAGTGAAATGAAATATTTGTGCTTTATTACTAGGGCATATCCTTACCAACCCTTGTAATAAGTTGATTTGTATGAAAGCAAAAAAATAACAAAATAAGAATGGCAAAAGTTTGAAATGAATTGGACAAATAGTAAGTTATGAATGTTTGAAATATGAGATCACTAAGTCTATGTAAATCTCAAATTGGTAGTTTGGTCAGTGGATTGTGACGTAGGACGTGGATAACTCTCCCATTTGCTGTGTACAAATATATCACTTATTTCTGTTTTTCTTGTAAGTTCCTTCTCCCTTGGGGCACTACTCAAAATGTATTATAGATAGCATAATAGTAGGTCTTCTAAAAAGAAAAGACCCTCCTGAGCCATGAATTTTTGAAAAATTTAAATCTGAGTAATATGTTATATGTGGGAACAGATGGGAAAGTAGTCCGGCACTACATCACATTGACATTACCGCTTCAGCCAATTTAAAGTGCCCATACGTATAGTGATAACAACTTTCAAATATTCATAACTTTCTGATTTTGTCTGCTTTCGTTTAGAGTAGTTTTCTATTTGGGTTACAGGTCAGTTTATTTACAACGTAACAAGATCGGTATAGACTTAGTATTATGAATTATGTGACTATAATTTGCAAATATTTATCTTTAAGTATACACTTAAGGCTCCTACAAAATGATCCATAGTGTCTTTGCCTTATACAAGCTCTGATATAAAGTGTGAAAAATCATTCAAAAATGTCTCTCTTGTTGGGATATGGTTGGATATAGTGTCAAATGTAGTGATTTCTAGTGTTCTTCAGCCAGGATCAAACAATGACTAATTTGATTAACCTATAGTTCTACAATATACCCATGTGTACTTTATTTCATCAACCCCCTACATACAGGTAGATTACTGGTTGATAATCATTCAATATTTACATTCAAGTGTTTACTTCCAAGTGGAAAGAAGTAGACTTTGCATCAAGCTTTTATATGGTATTGTTTATCTTGTAGTTATTAAGTTTTCTGCAACATGTAAGATCAATAACATGCAGACTTCTGTTGATTACAAAATGATTTCCCCTCAAATAAACATGATACTGTTATTAGATTGAAAGGAATATTTTTACACGGCTGTGCAAGAAGTTGAATTGTTTTTAAATTTGTATAAGAGTGTATGAAAAGATGTCAATTATAGTTCAGAGGATGATTATGACTATTAACCCTATCTAGCTCCCCTCTTCATTTTTCGCGATAATTTTTTAACGCCAAAGAATCTTGCACTGAAATTTTATTACTTTTTTATTTTATATCTTGCGCATCTTTTGAAATAATTTTTTTGAAAATTGGACCTATCGTTACAAAGTCACATGACCTTTTGTCTTTGCATGTCAGCCCCCAAATCGCTCATTTTTGTGATTTGTGTACAAAACATATGGAGATAAACATTGGTTATTTGGTCTTGTTTATAGTTAAGGTGTTTATTTTGGGGTTCAAAATAGTTAAATTATAGTTAGAATTTAAATAAAACAACAAAAACATTAAACTACATAAATTAAAAAGAAATACGTAAGAAATTATCAAATCAATAGAAAACAAAAGGAATAACCTGGATCTTCCAATTTTTGTTGATGTAATATTATCCCAAATGGTCTTAAGAATGTAGTGCAAACTCATGATTAAATATGAAGAATATATGATTTAATGGTAAAAATGTGAATTTTACTAACTTATTTGCATAAATATGCAAATGAGTGAATTTTTCAACAACAAAAAAAATTACCATAGTAATCTATACACTTCACTTGACATGCATGCACATTTTTGCGCCGATCGGCCGTTCAACTGCCGAGATCATAAGGGGGTGGGGTTCCCGGGCTATGCAGTTTCAAAATAGCCCGGGCTAGATAGGGTTAAGGAAAGAAAAAGAATGTTTACTATCATTTATACCAGTAATAATAGAAATTCAATCAATGATGTGATATTTAGGCAATGACAGAATGCTGTCATGAAATTTTTTTTTATGTAACAATACAGTGTTGAAAGATTTTAGATATTCTCAAATGTAAGATATGTGTCAGACTGTTTTTCATGACTTACTCTGTCCTTGTAGCGGATTTGTCTAAGAATTCATGAACTTACAGTGATCTAATGAAAAGGTTTTCATTGAGTTGATCTATCATTTTAACCAGATTTGTCTAGAATTCAGGGCTATGAAATGCCTGTCAATCGTATAATCTTTAAGGATAAATTGTTTCCTTTTGACCTCGGGGTAAAATCTTAATAGTGCACATGAACCATTTGTCATTCTGGAAGTTTTGTCTAAGAATTGGAGATCCTGAAATAACTTTGATTTTAAAATTCTGTAAGGATATTTTTGTGTTTATTGTGTTTATTTGTATCAGATAAACTGCATAAAAACAGATCATGATGACTTAACAAAAAGTGTTGTCTTCATATTGATCTTTTGTTAAAGGGACAATTTGGTGATATTTTTCTTTAAAAAGTGTCAACTCACATTGATTTACTTCCTCCCTCTTCTAACTGAACAGGGCACGTTCCCAGCTTACTACAACATGGATGCCAAGAAAGGCAAAACACTTGTATCCAAACCACACAAAAACCACGCCCATCTTGATCCAAACCACACCCATTTCATCCTGGTTGACAAGGGGAGGGTAGACGAGTTTGGTGAGGAAATCACGCTCAGGGGCAAGTTGGAGAAGGCCATTTCAGAGGAGCAAATACAAAAATCCTCTGGAGAATCTGCATGTGAGTTTAATCAGTCATATCTTTCTCATATGCGTTGAAGGGAATTAACAGTATGGTCCATTATTAAAAATGGTTGAAGATTTTTTGTTGTTATTGTATCGTCCGATGGGTTTATTTCATTTAGTGAAATCTGAGGAAACTGTTCATTTGATTTCAAGTGCAACCCTACATACAGTATATGATTCTGAATACATGTATGTGATGTACAGGGTGTAACAGAGAATTGTAATGATATATCCATGTTGAAGTAAAAGCAAAAAAAATTGATAACATGTAGAAAAAGAAGAGCTACCCTGCTATAAACATTACAGTTTGTATGAAAACAATAAGCATTATATTGTATAAAAATAGGGACTTGTCAATATATACCAGTCAATTAAGTTTAAACCATGAAAACAAATTACAAAAAAACATTTATTAGAGGAGCATTTCACTAAAGGGGAGGGGGGGGGGGTAAAGTACATTTTCTATGAAATGCCTGAAATATTTTTCCCTTTCTTCTTTAGTCCTTATACTTGTGACTTTTAATTTCAAAGTAATTGTGTTCTCATGTTTATGTCAAGGAAACAAACAGTTTAAGCTACTTATGTAACAGTAACTGACTACCAGTACCTTTCTTGTCTCTTGGGAAGAAACACAATACCATGGAGAGTACAGCTTTTACTATTCCAGGCTGACATACACCCCATTTTGATCAACCAAATATTCCAATCTTTGTATACCAGGATGTTTGCAAAGTGCTTGTATTCCAAATTTTGGTGTATCGATCTTTGTGTAAAGCCATATTTTCCTTTTAAATATAGAATTGATCACCAAAAAAGTGGTAAAAGGGCACGTACCGGGTCATGTATATCAAATTGTGATAATTAATCATTGATGAAAAATAGAGACTGATCGAGCTGGGTTGGGTCACTTTGGTACATTTTCAAAGTCTTGTAAAAAGCATTTCACAAATGAATGGGACAGCTAACATGTACATTAAATCTTGGAACAATGTAGCAATGAATCTTGAAATTTAAAAAAATGTAATTGTTAACAGAAAGTCTTTCAATATCTACTAGGAGTAATGTTTTTATATTTTTGAAGATGAAATAGATTTTAAGAATGCAAGTTCTCATAAGTAATTTTGTTTTCAGCATTTATAAATGTATTATGTTAAAAGTACTATGTCCCTTTTGCAGCCAACCTCAAATGCTGTAGAACTAATTTGCAGGAATTATGAATATGTCATGTATGTCCTATCTGTGAAATTTAAACGTTAGCAGTGTCCTTATATTCAAATTATGCAAGGAAACCCGTTTACTTGCTAGACTTCACTGTCAGACACTATTGAGTGACTGACTGGCTTTTTTTCTTCTTTGGTAATAACATACATGAAAAGAGTTGTAAAGGGTACATGAGCATTTGTCTACATCAATAACCCACTTCTTGTGATGGCCAAGATTAAACTGATTGAATCTTTGCGCAGCATAAAACGTATGACCATTCAGTACAATTGTCTGAAAAGACTATTACTTTTGGGCTCTATAGCCCTAAAGTTGATTTGACAACTAATAGTCGTTATTTTCTTACTTGAAGACATTTTCAAGCCCCAATTTTTTTAGGGAAGTTCTAAATTAGTATTATCTTTCAAATGCAGTTGGAATTTAACTTTTTCATTTTTTTGGCCTGCAAATGGGACATAGTACCTTTAAAGTATTTCCTTTAGTATTAAATCAAATATGAAACTTTATTAAACTAGATACATGTACAAAATGAAGCAAATATTAATCGACTACGAGGGTAATGGTGCAAACTATCATCGCCAAGGTGATCTCGGGGCTACTATCTTGATGGTATCCCCGAGATCACCGAGGCGATGATAGTTTGTATCCATTGCCCGAGTAAAGGAGGTTAATATTTGTTTTATATCCCACATCGGCAATAAGGTCTATTTAAAGTGAATTTTACATAATTAAAACAACTGATTTTGCAGACAGTTTAGCTTCAGCTAGATTTTACAAAGCACAACATGCGTACATGTAATACAGTCGATGCGCGCTCATTTGACATTGACATTGACTTTGACATTTCGCGTAACCTACTTTGCTATGCGTATTCAATGGGCAAGGGTGGGCAAGTGGGGTAGCAGCAAAAAATTACTTTACAATAAGTACTATCTCAGGTAGATAGTACTTATCTATACATTTTTCGTGCTCTGTACAATCGCAATGCAAGCAACTATACATGAGGGATATAATCCCTTATAGAGACAAAGTAATATGACAACTAAAAATAGTACTACATTCTTTCTTCCCTCCCTCTCCCTAAGAATTAATGTCCACTCCAATAAAACTTTGCCAATTTGTTTCAAATCTCTATACTTTCAGCTGTGTCTATCCCTGTCGTATGTGTGGTCGTGCAAGGTGGACCCAACACCATCGAGACGGCTTTTGAAGCCATTACAAACGGCACCCCGGTCGTTGTCGTTGCTGGATCAGGGAGGGCAGCAGACATCATGGCCTACGCATGCCAGCACACCATAGAGTTGAAGGAAGTGTAAGCTCTTGGGTCTTGTTCCTAAAATTAAAAATCCTTCCTGAAACAAGGTATATTCATTGAAATATCTGATCACAGTAGGCATAGGAAGGGATCAGGGTCTCTTTTGCTTTTTGAGTATAGGTAATAACACCCAGATATTGGTAAATCATGAATCTTTTAAGGAAAAAAGATCTTTTGAGAAAACATAATTTTTAATAGATCATGTTTCCATCAGGAATGCAGGTTTTTTTTTTTTTTACCTGATCAGTGCAGACTCTCAAGATATTTCCTAATGTTAAATTTATGATAGCTCTTTCATTATTTAACGGGATAGTTGAGTTTTGGTAAAGAGGGCGCTACACAGAATATTTTTTGTGAGATAATGAAGAAAGTGTCAAATTTGAAAGAACATACAATTTAATTGGCAAATTAATCATCTTTGTTTGATCAAAATCAGTTCAGAAACAGCTGAAATATCCATAAATATAACCATTTCTAATATTTGTAGGGCCCCACAAATATTCAATAATTTTGAACCAGCTGTTGAAAAAATGATTTAGCGCCTTATACGTTTTATTCCAGCCAATGCCAATAATACACATAACCAGCCAACACATGTATTGTTATTATTATTAAATGAACGGTCATCATATCTTTTGTCAAATTGGAGCTGTATTGGTATGATCGGATTTAATCTACATTCCACACATTTTGGGTTCTAAGATTACCTTCGTAGCAATTTTAGGTCCTAAAAGGGCACTAAAAATGTCATAAATAAGAACAAGAGCAATAACCATGTACTTTGAAGGCATTTGGGGTCTTAGACAAGAACTCAACTGTCTGTTTAATCTTGAAAAAAATTTCTTCTAATATTGGTATATGATAGTTCTTTTACATGTATCTTCTCAAGTTAGGTATTTACTCTAATATTGGTTCATTGTTGCTCTTTCATTTCCTTATCCTATTTATAACCTCTGATATTAATAGTATATCTGATAGCTCTTTTGTGAGAATGAAATAGAAAGTTGATACACATATTCTAGTAGATAAAGACTAGAAAAGAACAATTGTGTAGAAATTTAAGCACTTAACTTTCAAATAAAAAGTAGAACTAATTATCAAGAGAAACCGATAGAGAGGGTAGACAGTATATAAGTACATGTAGAGAGACACAGAAAAAGAGATGGGGGGGGGAGGAAAGATAGGAAAGGGAATTATAATGGAGAGGAAGAGAGAATGAAAGAAAATAGGAGGTAAAAGCAAGATTGAAAAGAAGAGACAGGGGAGAGAAGAGGGAGCATGTGAGCGAGAGAAAGAAAGAGGAATAGAATCAGATATATAATGAAAGAGAATGTTTGTTCATAACCAGGTTCAATTAGTATAAATATTTGTATTCCTTCTTACAAAAAAGTGTGATTGATTCATTTAATACATTTTTATTACATGAGTGAGTCTCTGTATATTTATATTTGTGCATATGCTGACATTTACATTATCTGTTCAGGCAAAGGTTTTGCTCTTAGATTCGGTAGAACTTCATGCAATTCCCACGATCTTAAAATAAGGCGTGACATTTCCAACGTTGCTCACTTCCAGATCAGATATTGCTGATGTACACCCACTTCAGATGTCAGCATATATTTGTTTTCAACCATACTATTCCTTCAACCTACATAAATATATTAAATATTTGTTTGCTTTCAATTTCTAAAGGGCTATTTGCTTATTATACATTAGAATCTGTTGTGAGACTATACATATTTATTCTTTGATTTTTAATGGAATGGAATTTGGATAAGAGATGATTTTATGTCATAATCTTTTATAGCTTGACTATTTCAATTTCGAATAAGCTAGTTCTGACTTCTTGGAAATTTGTATCTTATTACAAGACAAGATAAGTAGGCGTGAACTTCATTCTCCTTTTGAATAATCAATTTTGGCCATTGGGTCAATGTGTTAAATTGTTATTTGAAGTTCTGTAACTAAAGTAAAATTGCATTTTCACTTGTGACTAGAATTCATATTTTCCATTATTACTTTTTTTGGGGTTGCAATTTGCTATCATACATGTGAAATCTAATTCAGTTAAGCCTACATTGATGTGCGCTTAATTTGGTACAACTAAACAAAGTCAATGTCAGTCCCTCTGTCATTTGTAATACATTGTGTTAGTACAAACCATTTCTGCCTAATAACTGGCATCAGAGTCATATACACTATGATAGGTTGGTAGCTTGTTTCAGGAGGATATCCTGTTTGAAGTATAATTCATCAGAGATACTTCCGGTAGAAAGAAAGGGAGGAAAAGAGATTAAAAAAACTGAAAATCTGAAAAACAACAATTTTTCTTTGTTCAAAACTCTCAGGCTTTATATGCCCTACTGTCCTACCTGTATTTTCCGGTTCTGTATGTCAAGTCATTTCATATCAGTATGGTTTTCTGACAGAGTGAACCTTATACATCCTGGCTACTTTATTGCACCCTGTTAGATTTATGCATAGAGAAAGGAGGAGAGAAAGAAAGGGAGAGAGACAGAGAGAAAGAGGAGAGAAAAATAACAGTAGGGCAGAGAACTAAAGTGAAAATCTGGAAAAAACATAATTTTGTCGTCCCTGTATTTTTTCCGGTTCTGTATGTCAAGTCATTTCATATCAGTATGGTTTCCTGGCAGAGTGAACCTTATACATCCTAACTACTTTATTGCACCCTGATAGATTTATGCATAGAGTGAGGAGGAGAAAAAGAAAGGGAGAGAGAGAGAGAGAGAGACAAAGAGAAGAACAAAAACAGTAGGTAGTTGTCAATGATTAATCATAATGCTTCACATAGCTATAGGAATGTTTATCTCAGAATTATTAATCTAAAGCTTCCATGATTTACATAAAGATTCTAATTGAGTTATATTTTATAGTATTCTTAGAGGCTGTTCAGACCGGCAGAAATAGTGCAGTCTAGCGCGCGCTCGCGCTATCTCTGCGGTGTGGAAGGTACAACGTCGTTTCGGTCCGCCCAACAGCGAGCTACAGCAAGCACAAAACAAGAGATAGCGCGGTCTAGCACGTGCTAGGCCTCGCTATCTCTGCCGGTGTGAACCCGAGCTACGGATAGCACGCCGGAAGTCATCGTTCTAATCTACATGCTTGGAATTTTATACTCATTCTATTTTGGTGCGATCTGAATCTGAATCGGTACAACTCAGCACTCCTAATTAGTAATAGCGCGCGAAATCTTTGACCGCTCTGACCTCATGACATCATGCGTCATGGCAACAGGACCTCTCAAAAAGGTGGTGCTACGATAGACCGCGCTATCTCACTGCGGTGTGAATCCGGCGAATGCCAATGGGCGGACCGTGGATCGCGCTACGATAGCGCGATCCACGGTCCGCCCACGGTCCCCCCTTGCGGTGTGAACAGCCTCTTAGACAGAAGCAATGACTTCATAATGCTTCAGGAGTATCGAGATATTATCGTATTTGAACAACCCCCCAATCATTTCATTTAAATAAAAAAATGATCACCTGTCATTGATATGAATGAAATAAAATGTTAATAATGACATGTTTATTATCATATCTTCAGAGTGAGGAACGTGATGCCAGAGATGGTCAGAGTGGAAGTTGCCAAAATGATCGAGAAGGAGTTTGGACAGAAACAGTTGGACCATCACCTTACTCGTATCGAGGCCTGCATTCAGCACAAGCATCTTATTACTGTCTATGAACTGGGTGCCAGTTCCACCATGGATATTGATGGTGCTATCCTTCATGCTATCCTCAAAGGTATTGTTTCATAATCATCATAATTGTCATCATCACCATCTTCATCACCATCACCACCATCACCATCATCATCATTGTCATCAGCATTATTCTTATGTCACTACCATCATTAACATCATCATCATTTTATCACCATCATCATTATTTATCATCATCAACATCATCATTATTATAATCAACATCTTCACTATCGTCACCATCACCACCATTATTACCCGTATCAGACATCTGAGCTGGTCATTTACAAAACCGTATTGCCCTAGTTTTCACTAGCAGTGGGAACGGAGGGGTATATTCTTTGTATTTTCCTTGGTCTCCCTGCGCGTATTGACTTTGCGTGTAGAGACGAGTGAAAATATACCTTGGTATTTTCCACGGTCTCGCATCCGGGCACTTGAGGGCGAAGACAATAAAATAAAGAAATCATTACTCCCACACACTGCGGGTCGGCATGCAATTCAGTGAATCGCCATAGAGATTACACGCAAAATCGTAGCGCAGCGCAGACGTTCATTCGCTCGAGTTGATCGGCGATCGCCTGGTAAACAAAAACAAACATGGCAGCCTCCACTTCCACTAGATTCGCGAGTTTAGAAGAAGAGGAATACGAACAATTACTTCAAAACAAGGATACGTTCAACACTAAAAAGTCAACTAAAACAGAGTGAAATAAGAGTGAATTAGCGGCGTTACTGGCAAAGTTTTATGTTGAGGTACGACGAACCGACGGAACTCACTACAAAACAAGTTCCCTGCACAGTATTCGTGCTGGTATAAACAGATACTTGAAATCAGAATATCATGAAGTTATAGACATCATCAAAGATATTGAATTTACACATTGCAATGTTGCTTTCAAAGCTGCCAAAGTAGAACTGAAAAAAATCGGAAAAGGATTTGTGCAACATCATGATTCCATTGCATCTGGGGATCTCCAAAAACTGTACTCATCAACTGTATTTGACCAAGACACACCCAGTGGCTTACAAGCTAAGGTTTGGTTTGAGATTGCTCTTTATTTTTGTAGGAGAGGAAGAGAAAATTTGCGTGAACTCAATAAAGACCATTTCAAGATCGAAACAGATGAGAATGGACATGAATTTGTCACTCAAAATGTAGACGAGATGACGAAAAAAACACGGGAGGACAATCTCTCTTCACGAACTGATGGTGGGCATATGTATTCAACTGGCAGGGCTGATTGCCCTGTTGCGTCCTTCAAGAAGTATCATTCGAAGCTTAGCGAGAGGAGCGACACACTTTTCCAGACCCCAAAAACTTCTGCTCCATCCTGTGGACCGTGGTACAAGAAGACACCACTTGGAAAGAATAGTCTCGGCAACAAGATGGCAACCATTTCCAAGAAAGCTGGTCTGTCTAAAGTCTACACAAACCACTGTGTTAGAGCCACATGTATCAGAATCCTTGATACTGTTATGTAGTACTTGTATTATTCCCCCCTCCCTTCAGTCATTCACCTTTCATTCACCTTTCTCCCACCTGCTCCATGATAAAACAGAACCCACTATCCCATTACTTTTTATTATAAACAATTGACCACTAATGACCACCCAAGATTTAGATTCCAGGAACGAACCACATTCCAATAACTATGACTCATACTAGGCCCAAACCCCAGTCACTTACACTCTCCATAGCCACTCCCCATTATACCATGACAACCCTGACCATTGACCAATGATAAGCATGAATAAGTCACCCCTCCCAACATTGGTTTTCTCCCCAAACTTTCCTGAATGTAAAGTTGGAGAATGAGAAAAACTTGGGTTTCAGCCGTCAACCGCTGAACAAGGATTCTACAGAGACTTGTATTTGTGAATGTGATAATTACGACAAGTATCTATGATGATTAAAAGTTCTCGTGAATTATAACAAGAAATAGTACAGCGTCTTTCTTTATGCTCCTCGCCTCTAACAATTACTGATCCCTACACAACAATACTGGAGGATTTGCAGGTAGGGATATCTGTCAAGTGTCAGGACATAACAATGAAGGCAGCTAGTCTGGCTTCATATACTGGCCGTGTAAGCAACGATAGAAAGTGTGAAATGTCGTCTACTCTGGCACAGGCCCTTGGAAAGAAGGAAACTCCGTTGCGAGCTGCGATAACAGTGCCACCCCCACCCGCTACAGTTACTATGGCCTCATCTTCTAATGCTACCAATACGAGATTTGTTGTTGCAGCTCCACATGCTGCTCCTACTCTGTTACTAGAAGTAGAAGAAGATGATGACCTTGAAGTTAACTTTGACTTGTGTTCGCAGTTGTCCTTTGAGTTCGAACGTGAAGAAACCAACGTTATCCAGCATGAAGTAGCAGTCCCTGCACCAGTAAATGTTGTCTTGCAACCAGTTGTGGACAATCAGCAAGTTGCCGCGGGATCAACGATAACAACTAGTAGGAGCAGATCAAGTAGGATGCAGGTAGTATGGTATAACAATCACTGTTCGTATTTAACAACTGCAATGTCACCATCAATTACTTCAAGGACTAAACTTGAGCATGGAGATTATGTACATATGTTGAGTGTTATAACAGTTTGAACATAGTTTTGGATTTCCCAGTGTGTTTCGCCAGTTTTCAGGAAAAGTTCTTCCTATGGATATTGCTCGTTTGGATGTTTTGACAGTTTTGAAACTTTACCGTTTGGAAAACTTTTAGTAGAGATGTCTACTTACCTGTACACTGTACATTTGAATCTGTGATAAACCTACATGTAGTCTATGTCAAAGAGTTCAGCATGACAAATTAGGTAAGATGATGTTAAATTTTCAGTTCTTTAAGATTGTCATGGTTGATTTATGTATTTGCTCTAGATGTCTGATTTGGATAACAATAACAATATTGACTGGCTTAACTTTCGGGGTATATAAGAAATATTGACCGCGCTAAGACCATATTGCCCTCGTCTACGACTCAGGGCAATATGATCTTACCTTGGTAAATATTTCTTATATACCCCTCAAGCCCAGTCAATATTATATAATTGTCAGCACTGCCACCATGATCTTATCATTCAAACCATCTGCATTAGTCATTGTCAAAATGTCTGTCACACAAGGTGTTTTGCCAATATCTTAGATTTCCACATAACCTTTAATCCCATTGGCTGTTGAATATTGTACCAAGATTCATTGTCATAGTGAGACTTTGTAATTCCTGATGTATTCAAGAAACAAAGACCATATATTAATATTCAATTGAAATAATTAAATGTAGGAGAGGCATATCGTTGATATTCTTTTTGTTATTTGGACCTCTTCTTTTCTTAGCCAACAAGGGAGGGATTCTGGACCAGCTTCGTCTTGCTCTGATCTGGAACCGTGTGGACGTTGCCAAGCGGGAGATCTTCACTGATGATCGAGAGTGGGGGGTAAGACCGGCTCTTCCTTCTGAATTTTCATACTGTGTTGATGTTCTGACTAAAAATAACGGTTGAATAACTTTCTAAAAGTGAAATCCAGGACATGATTTTTAAAGAGAAGGTTGAGTTCTGGGAAGAGGTGAAAAATTATTTGTGAGCGTTATCATTCTTATTATGCAAGTGTGGAAGAACATCAGATAACACATGTTCCCTGAAAAGCACGGCTCTTCAAATGCCTTCATATTCTAAAAATGTCATGTAACATCGTAAAACTCTGGGGTAGGATTTTTACGCCATGTGTTCGTGTAGTCCCATATACATCTTTCTGTGTACAGTGTTTGTAACTTTACCAAGACTTGGCCAACTTTCTTATCATTTTGATGATTCCAGAACCTTGCAATACACACAAATTCTTATATGCTAGATGATCAACCTTTTCTGGTCGATTCCACATCGATTCTTTCACGATGCAATCGCATGACCAGAACTCAACTTCATCTTTAAGTGAAAGTTAACTCACTCTATCATTAAAGGTGGGTCATTATATGAATCTTTAACACATTTATTACCATAAACATAACCAAAGGAATATCAAATAAAGTTTTTGAACTTGAATTAGCCAAGTGAACCATTCTTATTGTCAAAGAACTGAAATTAATTCTTATCTTGTCTCTTGCTTTGCAGAAAGGGCAGCTGGATGAATCCTTGCGCTATGCCTTGTCCAATAACCAAGCCAATTTCATTGAACTTTTCTTGGAGCAAGGGGTCAATCTAAAGGACTATTTGACCATCAAGGAACTGACCATTCTCTACAATGAGGTATTTCAAATTTTCAAATTTCAACTATTATCCATGAGTCAACTTGTCTAATTAAGTCATGCTTGGTTATAAATCTCGGTATCACAACGCATGCAATTATAGTTGTCTGGTTATTTACACAAAGAGTTCATTAAAAGTAGACTTTACACAAAAAATGTCTGTGGACATGGGTGTCGATCCCAGGGGGGATGGGGGGGGATATATATTTCAGGTGGGGGGGGGGATGGCCTGTACAATCATCCCCCCCCCCAATAATTCACCCTAAAAAATAAAAAAAAAATAAGAGAAAAATTAATGATGAGAGCCTGATGAGAGTAGTTAATGGTTATTACTCGCAAGATGACCATCAATATACACATTTTGCTATCTCATTTTCATAATACATACATATACAAAGTAAATGAGACAACTGTATATGAGACAAGAATAAATTGAATTCTCGATCATACGGCTTCATCAGGAATTGATGAATTAATTCACTTTGTTAAAGCCCAAGTCCACTCGAAGAATAACTTACTTTCAATAGAACCAGAAAAATCAGACAAACCAATCAAAAAAAGTTTGAGCTAAATCGGATAACTAATAAGAAAGTTATGAATTTGTAATGACATGAGGAACTTTGAAAATCACTACACAAATTAGCAACTCACTCATGAGTCTGTGACGTATGGTCCTCACTATCCACTAATTATTTTCTGTATATTGATAATATAAATTTTCTATTTTCACCTTAAGAATCTTATTTCTTCACACCAGCATCCAAGTTAGATTGTTAGTAATATGTGTTTGTGTGGATGCACAAATAAAGAGTAACTTGTGTCCAGTTAAATCATGAAAAAATTGAATTTTGATAAACTATTTATATAAAAATCAATAATTATGAAATACAATATTCAGAAAATATTATCAATTCTTCAAAATTCATAAAAGTTTTTGGGAAATGTCATGCACGCAATATGATACAAATCATATAACCTGGGCAAAGGTTTGGGCAAATCAAGTTTTGGGGGATAAAAAGGGAAATTAATGGGATTAAACTATGTAAAGCAATTGATAAGTTGTGAGGACATGACGTCACAAACTGATAACCATCTTGGCAATTTGTGTTGTGATTCTCATTGTTCCATAGTTTTACATACTTTTTCAAAAATTCATAACTTTGTTATTAGTTATCTGATTTTGCTCAAACTTTTTTTGATTGGTTTGTCTGATTTTTCTACTTTTATTAAAAGTAAGTTATATTTCGAGTGGACTTGTCCTTTAAATTGACAGCAGCATAGAAATGCAGTGCGCCAAAAAGCAACGAGCTAAATGTTAAGCGCGAAGCGCAAAAGTAGCAATCTGCAACATCAGACCATCCTGGACAATGTAAACATAGATGAACTCTGTGACGAATTCGTGATGAGAACAGAGACAAGGAGAAAATTTTTCGGACATTAGTATGACTTATAAGATAGTTCACTAGTTGTTATGTTGTTTCCGTTCACCCTTTTTAAAATTCACGTCATTGTATCTTTATTTTTATTTTATTTCCTGATATTTCCTAAAACATTTTTCATTTTTGGAGAAAGATTATTATGTCACAACTTATTTTTGTTTTATTGAAAAGCTGATGTAGGTCTATGTCACTGGGGTACTGGTTGGTTCAACCCTCCAATAAAATCAATCCATGAATTATTCTCAATTTCATACAAGTGATTAATAAATGTTCGTGATATCACATGATTTTCAACAAAATTCACGCGGGAGGAGAAAAAACTGAATTCAGACAAGGACACGATACAACAAATCGTCTTCCTTCTCTAATAATTTAATGAAACGGTAAAGCTTCCGCGCTTCGCGCGATAGGGCGGGGGCAAATTGCAATCAGACAAGGACACGATACAACGAATCGTCTTCTTTCTCCAATAATTTAATGAAATGTCAGAGCTTCCGCGCTTCGCGCGAGAGGGGGAAACTGCATTCAGATAAAGATTAAGAGTCGAGAATGGCACATCGAATCGTCTTCTTTCTTTATTAATCGATTGAAACGTCAGAGCTTCCGCGCTACGCGCAGAGGAAGGGGACCTTGATTCGAACAAAGATTAAGAGTCGAGAACGGTTCAACAAATCGTCTTCTTTCTCTAATAATTTAATGAAACGTCAAAGCTTCCGCGCTTCGCGGAGGAGGTGAACTCCCCCCTCCCTACACCCAACCTTCTAGGGAGCGCGCTTCGGTTGCTTACTACCACCCCCTAAAATTAAATCCTGGCTACGCAGTTGGGGAGGGGTGCAACCTGCCACACGCTTCTACCTCTTGGTTGCTTTGATCCATTGCCGAAAATATTTTGGCAACTATCATCCCCCCCAACCACGGATACAAATTGATACCCTTGTCTGTGGAGCAATAAACATGGAGAAAAAAAAATTTGTTTGAATACCAGTAATTGATTCTCAAATTAAACATTGTAGTCCCTTTTACAAAAATACACAAAACAAAACTAATGTTATTTTGGACTGATTTTACTGTTAGGAATTAAAATGATCGAGCTTTAAGAGGATAATGATAAATGGATGACAAAATTGTCACAAGTGCATTAAAAAACTTTTTAGAAAATAAGACATTCGCACTTGAGTACTAAATGGATATATCTTAGAGCATTTTACAGTCTCTTAAGAATCCATGTAATTTTGGAAAATGGCAAATTAAAAAAACGAGCAATGTTAATCATCATTATAGCATGATAAGTAAAAGCTCAGAAGCTGCAGTTATCTATGAATAGATCCATTTCCTTCTTTTTCACAGATTCAATCCAGTTCACTTCTAAAGCAGCTGAAGAAAAAAAGAGCAAAGGTATAAGGAAAGGCATTATTGTATCTACTCGCAACTCACAATATTCAATATATTTTTCTATGCATGTCCTAAAGTAAACTTCTCAGTATGAGCTTTAGAATGTATACCTCTGTGTTTATTTCACTAATTCAATATTTAGTTAAGATATTATTTCATCAAGATTAAAGTTCAGGGTTAAAGTTGGTAATAAAGTTAAAGAGCAGGATTAGTTTAGGGTAACTTTAAGGAATATTTTTAGGTCCATGCAGGGCTGAAGTAAAATATTTAATTAGTGTTAGAAGTTGATATATGAGTCACACTGCCAAACCGACTCCACACTGAGCAATCCGTTGCCATATGTTGTAACATAAATTCTTATTCTGTGTTTCATCAGTCTGTTGTCGGTCTCACTAGTGCGACTGAAGTATGATTTGGGAGCATTTATCTCTCTGTGGCACGTATCGTACTATCTAATGTTTCACCTCAAATTTATGCATTCGGTACTCAAATTTCAAGATCAACCTTGAGCATGTGGGCAAGGTTATCCACAACCTGATGTTTGACACCTATCAGCTCCTCGACCAGTACCTGCCAAAAAAAGGGGGTGATGACATCAGGCAGGATGCGCCCAAACAAAACGAAGCATACGATGACGTCGGTGATGATGACTCTTCCGATGGGGAAGACATGGATGAGAACGATACTGGTGCCACGATAATGCCAGCAAGTGAGTGGATTCCCCAACCTTTTTACTGTCCCACCTCTTGTCATGCTTAAAGTAGTAATGCTGTGGATGATATTGTAAATACAGATTGTTTGAAATAGTTCAATGTTTTTACTTCTGTGTGAATATTTAACATTTTTCTTTTAAACCCAGCTTCTGTTGCTTATAATTGATAATATAAATGGTTTATGAAGGAACTAAAACTTGAGGTTTCATATTTCATTGGTTGATTTAATAATAAACTACGTTGTTTGTTGTCATAATTTTATGCCTCCGCTACAAAGTAGCCGGAGGCATTATGTTTTCGGGTTGTCCGTCAGTCCGTAAGTCGTTCCGTCCATACGTTTGTACGTCTGTACGTCCCGTTTTCGTGATTGCGTTATCTTAAGAACCGATTGATCGATTCCCGCCAAACTTGGGTCATGTATGTATCTCACAGAGCCAATGAGCTGATTAGATTTCGGGGTCGCGAGATCCAAGGTCAAAGGTCACAGGGCTCATTATGTATGCAAAAATAGCTCGTGATCGCGTTATCTCAAGAACCGATAGATGGATTCCTGCCAAACCTAAGTCATGTATGTATCTTACACAGCCAATGAACTGATTAGATTTTGGGGTCACAAGGTCAAAGGTCAAAGGACTCTGGGCTCATTATGTATGCAAGAATAGCTTGTGATCGCGTTGTCTCAAGAACGGATTACAGCCAAACTCAGGTCATGTATGTATCTTGCAGAGCCCATGAGCTGATTAGATTTTGGGGTCATGAGGTTGAAGGTCAAAGGTCACAGGGCTCATTATATATGCAAAAATAGCTTGTTATCGCATTATCTCAAGAACCGATTGATGGATTCCTACCAAACTTGGGTCATGTATGTATCTTGCAGAGCCAATGAACTGATTAGATTTTGGGGTCACAAGGTCAAAGGTCACAGGGCTCACGTATCCACAAATAGCTTGTGATCGCATTATCATGAGAACCAATAGTAAGGCTGTGCACAACCGTGTAATGAGGTACCCGAGTACACTCCAAAGCTCACAAGCGAATATTCAAATATTTGGGCGCCATGTTTTTTTGTTTTTTTTGTTGAATGAAAACACACCCTTTCAATCACTCTAACAAATCAGCCCAATTTTTAAGCAACATACTATATTCAATTCAATTCAATTTATTTTGCCAAGCAATAAAAAACATACAGGGTAAAACAAAAGCAGTATACAAAGTTTTACACAATTACAATTACTAACATAGATAAACACAGAAATACACAGAATCAATTAACAAACATGAATAATACAAAGGAAATTGCTAATGCTGGTAGCAGCCAGAAAGGAGGTGGTCCTTGTATGCGGCTGACCAATTAATCAAATATAAAAAGTTAAGCTGTAATAAAAAGTGAAACAAGCAACAATTACATGTAAAATATAATGAATTTAACAACCGTTAAAATCTGTAGCTAATATCAATATACGTCCATCAAGTATTTTTTGTATTTACGTTTGAAAGTGTTAACACATTTCAATTCATGTATTTTACGAGGTATAGTACTCCATAAGCAAGGTACATTAAATATTACTGTACGTTTATATGAAGTTGTATGTACAAGTGGCAATTTTGGGGAGTTGGGGACGCAACATTTTCAAAGGGAAATAGATTAAAATCTGTCGATTTCCTCCCATGTAATTTGGTAGTATGGTGGATTTGATGATGATCACATTGATTAGGGAGAGGGAGGAGGCAGCGCTGCGAGCCTGGTCTGCTAGGCTTGCCAAGCGGCGTCCCCTCCATAAGCGCTAGCCTAAGAAAGACCCACGAGTAGTAGTGTTGTCGATGCAACAGACATAAATAGAATCAATAAGCTTAAAGGTATTACAAAGTTTTAGTATGGGGTCATGAATTTGGTTCAAAATAACATATTGGAAGCATAAGCGTTCCTACAATATACATTGATCTTTGTCGCGGTTGAAATCGAGTCTAAAGTTATGAAATTATAAATAATAAACTCTTTATGTGGTATAGCTCCCTCTCAAGGTCAAGATATTAATTTAGCTATGAAACAATGTTTCTTGACTAAAATCAACCGATTAGCTATTCCCGTTTGGAAATGATATATCCCAACTACATATTCCGAGATTTTCATGGTCGCAGCTACCATTGTACGGCCATAGGCGCTATTTTAAATTTATCAAAATTTACCGGGAGCACCGGTAAATTTTTATATTCAATTTTTCTCGAAAACAGAAGTGTTTTAGGGGCTAATTTTTGTAGTGCTAATAAAACATCCACAGGGCATCCAAATATATCAAAATTGTAAAGGTTCACTATCCACCCAATTTTTCAAAATTTTCCAAAACTTTGTATTACCTTTAAGATAACTGGAAGCTTTACTACTAGTAGTGATGTATTAAACCGTGAATGAGAAGGAAAAGAGAGAGAAACGATAATGGATATTGGATAAGAATAGGATTCAATAGAGGATTCTAGGAAATTGAAGAAGCCAAATGATAAGCCTTAATAAGTTAATTAGTCAATAATTAGTCAATAATATGCGCATTTCTTTGCTGAACTTGCTGATATATTTATCATGACCTCAGCCTTTTACCTCACCCTCTCTCGTTCTTTTCTCTTTCCAGTTTCCATTCATCTTTTTCCCTCTTTCCTTCCACCTCTCTCCACTTTTCATCTCTTGATAATAATTAATTATGCTTCCGTCTTTCTCTCACTCGCTCTGTCGCCTTCGGTTACCCTCCGCCCTTTTTACTAATCACTCCTTGGTTCAAGTCACAGGTTCAGACTGGGAGATTACAATGTTGATATACATGTATATAGTAATAGCGAAATGATGAACCATGTAGAATTGTGAACACATCATATGAACACATGAATGGGTTTTATAATGACATATATTGTAAAGTTGGCTCATTAAAAACACAACCACAACTAGTGAGTGATTATAAGTCAAAGTATTTAACCCTTTGTAGATAGATGATGCAAAATATAAAATTCATGGTTTACTGTGTCATATTTTTCTTAAGGTTTAGCCGGGTGTCGACGCTCAGTTGTTGCGCGTGTTGGAAATGCCACAAACCCATTGAAAAGTGGAATGAAAAGCATGTTTTTTATCATTAGCATAAGGCAGAATGCAGTTGCAACCACATTATGCTTTTCTCAAACATCTTTTGTTTTATTTCACATACATATAAAGTCATATTCTGAAGTTTTTTCCCCTCATGTCATATTTTAAAACTTACCAAATATAGTATGTATGTGCTGATCTCTCGCATAATTAAGCAGAGATACCCAGTGATCAATATGATTTTATATTTTATTTGGAAAAGCCACCTTTTATTTTCCACTCCATCGGTATACAATTAACATGTATATTTGTGCATGACAATTAAAGTACTATTGTGAACACTATCATTGAGGGGGGAAAAGAGATATTAAAAAACAAGAATATGCCTGTCTTTGCCATTGTCATGAACTACTAACAACGTTGTATTGCATTAATTTAACATGACTGAATTGCATCTTTATAATTTTAATTCAAAGTACAGAGAGCCACAGCTGATTAAATCAATCATTCTTGTACTTTCTAACACACTAAGTAAGGATCACACAGCTCTTTTACAGAAACTGTTGGAAAAGGATTTTAAAACAGAATAGTCAAAGTTACACTGCATGCTATGATTTTATTTGATCATATTATTTAACTATTTCAAATCACATCAAATGCATATTTGGGACTAGTTTAAGACCTAGATGTAGCTGTATCTCAAATACTGTGTCATATGTCTGTTGAGGGTTGGGTGGAATTATTATCTTAAAAAAAAGAACATCGTGATAAATCAAATTGATTAAAAATCAATTTTCATCACATATTAAATACACCTGCATAAACATTATGGTTCCAGCATATTGAAGATAACATGTTTCATCATCATACATCTTACAGCATTTACAATATATACAATTCATTCTATTTTGCAGAATTACAAACAAAAATGGGGGGGGGGGGATTTGAAGAATATCTTGTTCCATTTTCCCCTTCTGGGATGTTGGTTTCCTCACTATTCTAAATTGGGGCTTCTTAATAAATTTGTGAAAGTATAGGTAATGAATTCACAGACCCACCTATATGATATAACACAAATGATACTGTTTCAGTTTTAATGTTATGCTAACCCCTTATAATGTTGAATATCAATATTATATGGATTTAGAGTTACTGGAAACAATTTATTTAAAGATGAAATATTCAAAATTAGGTTTTACGTTACTTTGTGTTTGCATTGTGGCATTTTTATTTCCACTACTTACCAGTCAAATATCCTCCTCAAAAGAATCTGACACTATTGGATGGTGATTGATTTTATGTTGTCATGCATGTAAAAAGATTTGAAATGAATGAAAAATGGTATCAAAATCAAATCAAATCAATCTTCTCTATCAATCAATATTTCTATCTGGTTCAATTTCAGATATGAAGAAGGACCAGTTTGAGTTTCCCATGAGGGAGCTATTCGTCTTTGCCATCTTGCAGAATTGGCATGACATGGCCAAGCTTTTCTGGGAGGAAGGCAGGGAATCCATAGCATCGGCACTGGCAGGGAGTAAGATGCTAAAGGGTATGGCATCCAAGGAGGATGATTCTGACCAGATAGCAAACATGGAAGAACATGCAGAGTAAGTAGAGTTCGTCTGACATATTGAATTTTGAGAGACAGAATGGCATTAAACTCTGGAGCTAGTCAGTCATATCGTGTGTTGAGAGCTGGAAGGGTGTTAAAGGATACAAGTCCCCACACTTCTGCATTGATATATTTACATGGAATGCAATAGCTGTATATTGGTTTTGCAGTTGACGTTATACTCTTCATTAGTAATCTGTCCAAAACCAAGTCTCTACTGCACGCAATAAGGCTGCTAGTGTTTTATATTTTTAGTTGCAGTAACAACTATAATATTCCAGCTGACACAATCGTATATGTACCGTGCATCATTTCTTTGTATTAAACTTATGTAAAGGATTACAAATTTGGAATACAGTAGTCAGGAAATCAATAATTTGACATTTGCCTCTGGCTGTATCGCATCAAACGTGTAAGGTTAATATCAGTATTGCAATTTGATTTTAGAGTAGGTTTAGGGTTAGAGCTAGTCAGCTGAAGTATTTGGCTCAGGATTTAAATGAGACATTCAGTCAATGTAGGAACTATCTTCAGAGCAAATTTCACAATCCTCTGCAGTATGGCATTTGCTGCTATAGATACACTTCCAATCCCTGTTTCATTAAACTTGTTATCAATAACAAAGTGCTAAATTCTGTGACAAATTTGCTCTTAGCCAATCAATTGCCAAAATTTCAGTGGCTTATAACATATCGTTACTTGTTATTGATACCAAGTTTTTATGAAATAGGGCCCAGGTGACACTAACAGCTGTATTGCTTGCAGCTGATGCAACCATAATCAGTATTTCCAGTATAAAGTATATCAGTATAAAGTGTATATTAAGAGAAAATATCAAAAAGTCGGGTGCGGCCTTTGCAGCGAAAGAGTAAAAAAAAAAAAAAAACGAAAGTCAAAACCAGCACGAATTTGCACATATGGGACTACGAACGGTACGATTACTATGGTACAGGACATTTCCACACATCTTACCGACAATTTTATCTTGCATTGTTGACATGAAGACGAAAATAAACTTCCAAAAACAACATCTGCCGATAGATATTGATCTAACTTCGTGCCAATGCATTGCAAAAGTAAAAGAAGGGCCCGTTTAACGGAGCTGCCGCGAAGCATCCAGCCGAAATCGCCATTTTGAATCCGTTTCAATATATAGATAAGAAAAAACTGCAGGGGATAGCAACAGGGACGAGATGGCCGAGCGGTCTAAGGCGGTGATTTGGGTCACATCAACATTTGTAGGGGAGGGTTCGTATATTATCCCGCTTCTGACAATTTTTTTTTTTTTTTTTTTTTTTTTTTTCTAATGTCAAAACCGGGGGTGTGGCCTATGCAGCGCTGCAGCCTTATCGCTGGCAAATACGGTAGTAATATTAATTTGCACTTTTCGTTAATCGATTTGTATTTCTCTTAGAACCTACGAGGAGCTAGCCATAGGAGTCCTGAATGAATGCTATATAGAGGATGAAAAACGTTCAGCTTTGCTTCTTGTTTTTGAGCTTCCGTCCTGGGGGAATTCTACGTGTCTTAGTTTGGCTGTGGAAGCCATGGACAAGAACTTCATTGCACACCCTGGAGTGCAGAGTCTCCTCACTCAGATCTGGATGGGAAAGATCTCGGATAAGACAAGTCCATTTCACGTAATACCATGAATTATTATTCTTTATCACCAACTTGAATTTAAAATTATCTCTTTGATTTGAATAAATTATCTTTTGACACTTTCTTTGTTAATTCCATTGTATTATTTCACTTTCTATATACAGCCAAACCTGTTTACAGTGACCGCCCAAGGGTAACACAAAAAGTGGTCTTTGTAGACAGGTGGTCTTTGTACACAGGTTCCTTTAGTACATGTTTCAATGAGAAACCATTTTCAAGGGAAACAAAAAATGTGCTTGTTGTTGACAGGTAGTATTTGTAAATAGGTGGTCACTAAAGCAGGTTTGACTGTAGCTATTCATTTGTAATACATGTATTCCCACCATTTATAGAGTGGTGAAGTGTGACGTCATCAACAATTAAATTTCAGAATTTCTCAATGTTTTCTTCATTTTCCGAAAGAGCATCAAAAATAATGTCCGAATGTCGAAAAACAATTGAATATATTAAGTATTGGCTGAGATATGACCATCTGAATAGATATATGTCCTATGGGAACTTAGTGTTGTAGTGCTCTGGTTCATAAGATTAGGAACCAGAGAACCCCCTGGATGTAAATATGATGCAATTTCACTGGAGAGACATTGAGATCAGAGGGTCACATATTAATAAACTAGACTTATACTACATCTCTTTGTATCTATAGCTATGGATGTGCACTCTATTCCCTCCATTGATATACTTCCTGGTGAAGTTCCATGAAGATGATGAAGAAGAAAAGCTTTCCGCTGCCAAGTCAATTGTGAGTAGAATAAACCATTCTTAAATTATTTGTAGAATGATCCTCATTCTTTTGTGTGGCACACAGTTTTATTTCATTTTATGTTCTAGCAGATACATATTTTCTTTATCTAGAGGCTAAACTAGAAGTCAAATATATTAGATAAAAAGTAATGTCAATCATTTTTCATATTTTTGCTCTTTTTCAGAGTGATCTAAAATGTGTGTACCATCTCACTTTAGCCAGACTGTGCACAGTAAAATGGTATCAGGATTCAGTTCTCGTACTGGTATCACTGTACTTGTGCTTTCTCAGAAACTGTAAATGTATGTAGTTCAGCTTTGTATGCTTCCTCCACCAAAGCTGATGCTTAAAGAAATTAGTTGTAGTGATATATTGATCATCATCATTCAAGATTTGATCATCACTGTTCCTATAAATTAAGTTTTAATTCCAATTATCAGTTTTGATAGAAAAGAGATGTTTGTTTTATGTGGATTTTATATCATATCATGGCCAAATAATAATAATAATAATAATAATGAATTCATATAGCGCAGCTTTTAAACAAAATATATTCAGCTGCGCTGGTTAAGAGTTCCTTTTTTTTTTTACTAAATTCTACAAAATAAGATCTCTCAGTTGAACAAATAAGTTTTTAAATTGGATTTGAAAACATTGAGAGATATAACATAGAGTTACAGACATTTGTATCTTCCATGAATTTATCATATCTCCTTAATAATCATTTTTTTCTTTACTATCACTAGTTATAATTTTCTGTTATAGAAAGATACATTTCATTGAAGGGAGTGGGTATAGTCAGTTTCCAAGTGCATATACAGCCAATAATAGCGCCACCATATTGAGCTGCTGCAGCAATTTTAGTGATTCTAAATTTCATTTTTTTAATACTATTTTGCGGCTTTTATTCTTCTGTTTGAAGACTATATTTGTTCTCATTTGCTGTTTTCTTTATATATATATATATATGTATATTTTTGTATGCTTTTTAAAAAATATGATTGTATGTTTGATGTAAACTTGCATTATTAGTCTTTAGACTTTTTGACAAGTCTTGAATAAAACCTCATTTGAATCTTGAATCTTGAATATTTCACTGTCACCAGACTTAGTGGAAATACCATTAATGTATGTACAAGTCTGCACACAGCAAACCAGTATAGGCCTATATTTTTACAACTGATGGTACATGTAGTGTCTGCTAATTTCATTTCAGATGGGTGCACTTGACCATCCCCCATCAGACAACGGAGACAATGGAATGGCCAGCCAGACCAAGTTAGTATCATATCATTAGGAGACTTCGTAAAAATGTCACAAATGTAATTGTTCTGAAAGGATTTAGATCCTGATCTGCATGCATCCACCTCTTGTGTGAGATGGATGCTGATTGGTGTAGAATTTGGGAATTTGAGAAATGAGATCATTATACGGCTCTCACTTAACTTTTTTTCTTGGTTGCCAGCCAGGCATCCTTTACATTTTTTTAGGTTGCCAATGGCCGTTTAGGTAGTCACAGTGAATAGGCTTAAAGAGGTTTGTGTATTAAATGCATAAATCTGCCGTGTCTGTCGCGCCGTCCAAATTACCATCCACCATGGTAACCATGGTAATCATGGTACCAAACAATGAAATACATTGTTTGATGACCCTATGTTTATCATTGTTTGATACCATGGTAACCATGGTGGAGGTAATTTGGACAAAAAAAGCATGGTTAGCATGGTACTTTTTTATAAGGGGCTCTACTTGAAATCTTGAATTAAAATAAACTAGGCCTGAGTCATGTCAGGATTTTTATAACCGGGTCCCGATGGCCTCGCACCGATCGGGATCTGGTGTCCCGAAATCAGCTCGCAGGATTTGTCACTTGCCTCTATAAAAAGCGCATATCATCAGTATGTCCCTTAAAAGTGACCTTTTTATCAATCAAATAAATCAATACATGCATACCTCGGCTCAGATCGGTATCTCCCATTTGACATTATTTTCATCCATGTTTAGTGCCATTATCATGCCTCTAAAAGTAAAATAACTGGGGCAAAAATTGAACGACAACATTCGAGTTGCCATTTGGATTCATGCAGGTTGAATAAATCTGGTAAAAAAAATATGAATGTTAGAGTTATAAAACGGCTTCCAAAAAAATTCTTTTTTACAACGTACCGATCAAATATTTTTTTAAAGACAAAATAACACTGCATGCTTTTTTTAAAAGCGGAAAATTACGTGGTAATCACAACAAGTTTTGATACTGATAGCTGTTGGAAGGCAAGTTCAGACTATAGTCACAGAGAAAATGCGCAGTGCACCTCGTTAGCTGTAATGCGTGCCAAAACGAACCCAAACAAATGTATGCGATCGTAACAAGAAATCATTCAAAACTACGGGAGCACAATTGGAAAGACAACTGCTCAAAATTACCATGATCAAATACATAACTTGGACAAAGAATTCAATAGTCGTCCAGGAAATGCCACAGAAATTGTGATAATCGAGGAGTAACTGGGTACATTTTTATCGAAAGGGGCCTGCTGCAGATATCTAATCGCTATACTCAAAGCCATTGTTATACTGCTTTTACCGTAGAGGGTGGTATATTGTTTCTAGCCTCGTGCTCAATTTAAACACGTTATTCTGCACGGACATCGCAGCAGGCCCATTCCGATAATAATTGTACCGATAATAATCATCCACATATCATCCCCTATATTCCCTACCCTAGTAAAAAAAAGAAAAGAAATGGGGAATATAAATTTTCTGCTGCCAGATGTACAGTACAGATAAATGAAATGCACACGAATTTCAATTTCAGTTTGAAATGTTCAAATACTTTCATATTACGTAAAAATATCAAATGCAATGTACATGTACACCCTTTGGTGAATGAGAGCACGATAATTTTCTCAAGATTTTCTTGTGAAAACTTTACTTTGAAAAATGATTATCAAAATTTGGTTAACATGGCGAGAATAATCACAAAATAAGCTTTGATTTCATACCTCTATTCACAAAAACTATATAAAATTGCAGCAATCATGATGGAAATTGATTGCAGCTTCGCGGTGCTTTTTAGCAAATGGTCAAGGTTCAGCTAATATGATCTATCAAAACAAATTCAACCACCAAAAACCTCAACCCCTACGCTCCGTCTCGCAACAGCAAAAATTTACATGTTTTCGCGTACACGTGTGGCGACATTGTAAAGCCAGGTGGATTGACGTGTTTCATGACCAAATTTTTGTGTATTTACACAGAGATTCAGCGCGCGTGCGCGCGCCGGCCCAAGAAATGCACACAATGAATACAAAACTTGTAGAGAGCGGCCGCTTGTAATCGTTATGGGGGCGATTTGAGATCATTTCCTTTTTTGATCTCGACCTATTTTTTTGGTTGCCAGCTGGGCAGTGTATTTTTTATTTACACGGCAGCAAGGGGAATTTTTTGATTAATTCCAATGAAACCGCTCGCGAAGAGTCTCCACGTCTATATTAGATCGAATCGGGGTCGCAGTGCAGTGTATTAGAAAGGGAATTGTGCTTAACGTGTACATCTAGAGAAGGAAAACAAGAAAACAAAATTGATAGATGTCTTATGCAATAAACAGAGACAACAGTATGATATTATAGTGAGTGTAGCATAATAAAATATGCAGATGACATATACCAGTTACATTGCATCTGACAATACCGAATCATATACTACGACGATAGATAACTTTGTAAAATGGTGTGACGATCACTCCCTTAAACTAAATATATCCAAAACAAAGGAACTGATAATAGATTTCCGACGAAATGCTACTGAACACAGAACAATTTCCATTCAGGGGAAGATGTGGAGCAAGTACAAGAATATAAGTATTTGGGTACGACCATAAGCAATTCACTAGACTGGTCAAAAAACTTTCAACTTATTCAAAAGAAGGCAAATCAGAGGCTATACTTTGTAAGGACCTTAAGAAAGCTAAGGGTAGACAATACACTAATTGTTCTTTTCTACAAGTCCCTAATCCAGAGTGTTCTGACGTACAACCTAGTCTGCTACTTTGCTAATGCAACAAAAATTGACCAGAAGAAGCTCAATAAACCCAGGAAAATAGTTCAACGTATACTAGGGATAGACTTGCCGCTACTTGATAATCTGTACCAAGAGAGAGTTTCATCTAAATTAAGACAGGTTATGCAGGACCCCACCCACCCACTCAACGAGAACCTTAAATTTAACCGTTCAGGCATACGTTTGTGCGCACCGCGCACACAGAAAACCCGTTTCAGGCAATCTTTTGTTCCCAACGCCATTCACCACTTCTATGCACAAGCCCGGAGGTCTGGAACTCAAACGTAAATACTCCTCTCAACTTTTACTTTGTTCTGAATTTAATTTTCGCTAGGGCTCATAATATTAAACTCACCTATATTCTCAAATAAACAGCAAGCTTAATGTTCGAATTTTTCACCTGGAATGCCATGTTAATGTTATACTGCAATCATGTATTCCTTTTGTTCTGTTTCCATTGCAACAATTATTTTCAGAATGTAAGTACGTTTGTAACGATGTACATTTGATAATTATTGTATTATGTACTGTTCTTGTATTATGTATATATGTACAAAGACTGTAAACCAGTGAAAAAAGAATTTCCCGAAAGGGACAATAAATTTTCAATTCAATTCAATTCAATTATATGCGACACCATGGCACAGAGAGCGTGAACATATACATGCCCTCAGAGGCCCTCGGCCACGTACCAACGATACACAGTACATCGACAACACAAGTCATATTCAGTACAAAATCACTGTACACGCACTACAGACTAGACTCCCCGTGAGCAGTTTCATTGGAATTATAATATAAAAATATGCCGGGCAGCCAAGACGGGACTTTTAGGTTGCCCAGTGGCGTTTTAGGTGGTCAATGGCACCCAGGCAACCGCTAAATTTGAGCCCTGATTATATCAACTTTCCCATGCTAATTCAGAAATACTTTACATAATTCCCAAGCTTCCAAAGGTGGAGCTTCCCGGAGTTACCAAAGGTGTAAAGTACCAACACAGGTACCCTTATAAGTATTGTTTTATTAATTTAGATTATACAGTCTGTCGAGGAAAACCTGCTATTCTCTTGTCCCACCTATATTCCATTGAAAGTAAAAGCATAATACAGTCAAACTGATCATAGCAGCCACCTCTCCATAAAGACCACCTGTATACAGTGGTCATTTATGTCCCTCTGTAAGACAAAATGTGTTGTAGAGCAATTATAAAATTGAAAACCCTTACAAATAGATATGACCTTGAAATGTATTACTGGAGAGGTTCACCTCATGGGTAATGGAATTTTGAAAATGAATTATTTCTTCACAATCGGTTGAAAAATCACCCGCTTTGGTAAGCTAATGCAGTATGAGGATATGGTCAGAAATTTGTATAATGTATCTCTCTTGTTGTCAGGCTACTTGAGAACAAGAATGGACATCCTGCCAAACCCAAGCCCAGTGAAGATGAAGATGAAGATACCTTCAGCCTTAGGCTAGCATACCTGCCAACCCTCCCGAATAATCCGGAATAGTCCGTTTTGGGGGATTTCTAGGACCTGAAAATCTGGAATATTCTTTATTGTCATTTTTTTTTTTTTTTTAAATATTTTTTATTATAATTTATTTTGTGCTAAAGCCAAGTTAAGCTTGTTTTATAATGTGCTGCGATTTGAGAGTTCACGTATTGTGTGCGTTGAATGGCTGCATGATTGAGCAGCAAATTTTTATTCGTTTTTTGGTACAGATTTACCGCGTATTGCCAGTTACACCGCCGCTGCAAGTGTGATTTCTTATTTTCGAAGGCATACTGTGCTAAAAATTCCTAATTCTTATTTTCAAATGTTGGCAGGTATGGGCTAGACATTAGGTACAGTGGCGTGGCTCTGTCCTGGTGGCAAAAATTCAAGTTCTTCTACGATGCGCCAATGAACACTTTTAGACATAATGTGGTAAGTATTGTCACATCCTGACATATAATCACAGGTTAAATGAATGAGAAATCACTCCAGTTCTAGAATCACATTCAGGGTTGTTTTACAATCAGGGTACACAATAGAAAAACTCACGTTGATGGCCGTTAAAACAAAAACAATAAACAGCCAAGGAAAATCTTCCTCGGTCAACCATTTTGCACGGTTAGATCAACCTACAACAGCGATGAAATTGTTTGAAACGAGCAACTACTTTTCAAAATATGTAATTATATGCCATTTTTTGCACATTTTCGCTGTCTCATTTCACTATTTGCAAAGTTTGAACATGTGCATATCTGACATACAATCCCCCAAAACATTATCAACTATCAAAATGAACTCTTCCAATGGGTCTATGTAAGATCTGAATTGGGTGTAATATTTTGGCAAATATTTTGGCATATATTTTGGCAAATTTTGACTTCGCACCAAAAATGAGGTGCAAAATGTGTCAAAAAATGTCCTCTCCGAAACCAGTGTAACAATTTAAAGTACGACTGCACTCAATGAATTATTTTTCCTCCTTGAAAAGAGTCACTAATATCCTTCGAAATTATGATATTAATTTTTCCCACACTAACTCAGTTTTTTGGTAAATGCGTGTTTCAAATTTGTTTGTCAGGGGTGTGTCAAAAAGTTCCTCTCCGAAAAAGTGACATTTTTTATCAGCACTCCTTCAAGAAGAGCCACATTTTGAAACCAACTTATGTTATTAGAAGACCTAACATTGTTTTATCATGTGCAATAGATAATATTTTTTTTGTTTAATATTCACACTGATTTTGAAGGTGTCAAACAAAATGTCCTCTCCGACCCATAATCAGTAGATGGATAAATGACTGTAATAACAGTCTACAAAGTGCATGGATTTACAAAAACTAGCCTAATTTTAATTCATCATGAGGTGGGTATTACAATCTAACATGTTCCTGTTATTTAATGGGAGGTTTTTTAGCTCATCCGGCCCGAAGGGCCCGATGAGCTTATGCCATGGCGTGACGTCCGTCCGTCCTTCCGTACAGTCCGTCAACAGTTTTCAAAATACTTCTTCTTCGTTATTTTTCAACCGATTTTGATTCTGATTGTTTCATATGATAGGGCTAGGCAGTCAGACTGCAACTTGCGTGGGGGAGCTTCCGTGTACTCATACGATATTCATAAACACCACACAGTGCGCACATTCTGTATATTAATGAACTCGCTTCTATCGCTGATATCTTGCCTTTTCTTTGGTCAATGTTAGAGGTTAGGGTCTTATTTTAAAGAAAATACTACATATTTTTATATTCTTGTGATGAAATAAGTATACTTTATCGTACATGTTTTAAAATGCTCACAAAAGCTATCTAAATTTAATTGCCTACCTAATATTTTTATATCACCATAAGAAGTAGAATGTGTTCTTCCTATTTTGGACATTTTCAGATTATTTTGAATTTTGATCGAGTCAAGTTCCAAGATTTAAAATCATGTAGCACATTTACGAGTTCGCCCAAAATGGAAATATACGTTATCCGAAAATGGCATAACCTGATTGATTGGTTACGGAAACATGAAGGGTCACGCAAACTTTTGTTTGAGCGACTAGCGGCTGCTAACTAGGCCTAGGGCAATATCAACACTAGTTTTCCGGCATATTTTCGTCAAATTAACGAAACATTATTAGTAATGCAGGTTTCAGTATTTAATGACCAAACTCTTGCAACAATAATAAGAATAATTTTGTCATTATTACGATGTTTATCGATATTTTCGGTTTTTATGCCTCCGTTACGAAGTAGCCGGAGGCATTATGTTTTCGGGTTGTCCCGTTATCAGAGTACAAAGTTTCAGGTAGTCCATGTCTGGCAAATATTTCCATCAATGCCTGTACAGTCTTCTCAGCTGTCGTAGACTTCATCACAGTGTATTCGTAGAATCTGCTGTAGTAATCCACTACTACCATGATGGATTCCCCTGTCGGCAAAGGTCCCATGAAATCAATGGCTACATCTACCCAAGGTCCTGTAGGTAGCTGTGTACTTCTAATTGGCTCTGGCGGGTTGCCTCTACTGGTAATTTGGCATCCATGACAGGTTTTCACAAACTTCTCTGCCTCTTTCTCGCAACTAGGCCACCACACCTTGGATCTCAGGTTTTGTTTTGTACCGACAACTCCCAAGTGTCCTTCATGAGCCAGGGACACGATTCGTGGTCGCAGTGTGTTCGGAATCACTAGTCTGTTGCCTCTCAACACCCACTGTCCCACCCCACAAAGTTCATCCTTGATAGGCACATATGATTTGTATGAGCAGTGATCCCATTGTCCATTCTGGATGCAGTTTCTAACCTCTTTCAATTCTGGATCCTGCTCTGATTCTCTCCTGACCTTTCTAGTGGTCACCGATCCTGGAGTAGACTGAATGGCGATAAATCTCCCAAAGCTCTCGGCTTCCATCTCCATCTTCGAAGTTGTAGCAGGTACATCTCCGGACAGTAGTCTCGACAAGAAGTCTGCTATGTTCATTTTCCCTTCTACGTGTACAACCTTGTACTTATAGGACTGCAACCGCAACACCCAACATTCAATACTTGCACACGGCTTAGAGAATATATCACTTCCAAAGGTTTATGATCAGTTACCAGCTGGAATTCAGTACCATAAAGGTAAGGATGGAACTTCTCACATGCCCACACTAGTCCTAGGGCTTCCTTCTCCGTTTGGGAGTACCTTCGTTCCACACTAGTCAATGCTCGGCTAGCGTATGCCATGATCCTCTGTCCTTCTGCATGAGTCTGCACCAACACACCTCCCAGACCAACCGGACTTGCGTCTGCTATGACCTTCGTTGGTGCCTTGGGGTCATAGTATCCTAGAGTTCCTGCACTCGTGAGGGCGGTCTTCAGTGCATTAAATGCCTTCCGCTGCTCAGTGCCAAATTCAAAGGTTACATCTTTCTTAGTCAATTCTTCTCAAAGGATCAGGCAGAGTAGCAAAGTCTGGAATAAACTTGGCACAGTAATTCACAAGTCCCAGGAAACTCCTCATTTCTGTTGCATTCTGGGGCTCCCTCACATTGGCAACTGCTTCAATCTTGGCCTTGGCAGGATTCAAACCTTCACTAGTAAGTCTATGCACCATAAAATCCAGTTCAGTGACCCTGAACCTGCACTTCTGAGCATTAACTGTCAGTCCTGCTTCTTGTAGTTTGGCCAGGACAGCCCTGAGCCAGGCATCATGCTCTTCACGTGTTCTTGCATGAATGATGATATCGTCTGAAATGTTGGCTACACCTGGAACTCCTTGGATGATACGTTGTATCTCGTACTGGTTGATTTCTGGAGCGGCATTAATACCAAACAAGAGACTCTTATACCGGTACAATCCACAGTGGGTAACAAATGTTGTCACATCTTGTGATTCATCTCAAGTTCTAATTGATGGAAGCCCCACTTTAAGTCGATCTTGGAGAAAATCTTGCTCACAGTCAATTCATGCAAGACGTTTTCTACGGTGGGAATTGGGCGTCTTTCACTCTGTATCGCCTCATTTGCCCTATGCATATCTATGCATAACCTGATGTCATCATTGGGTTTCGGCACAATAACCACTGGGCTCACCCAAGCAGTAGAATGCTCAACCGGCTCTATGATGTCGAGCTCAATGAGTTCCCTGATTTTTGTCTCGACCATCTCACGAAGACAAAAAGGTGTCCTTCTCACTGGCTGAGCAATAGGCATGACAGTCTTGTCTATGGCCAACCTAACCTGTCGTCCGTTCAGCTTTCCTACGCCATGGAACACAGGATCAAACTCACTCTTGAGGTCTTCATACGACTGTGACAGTGAGTTGACTTGAGTAGACTGCACCCCAATTCGAAAAATTCCTAGCTCCCGTGCAGTGCTTTTATAAAGAAGTGGTTTCCGTTCTCTTCGATGACGACAAACTCCGCATCAACTTTCCTACTCCCAGTTTCAACACAGGTCGTGAAACAGCCTATAGTGTTCAGATATGCTTTTGAAGCATAAGGATACAGCTTTCTACGACACTTCCTTGACGTGCACACAATTCTCTTCGACTTGAGTGTCTCCCACAACGATCTGTCGATGCATTGCTATCGCTGCCACTGTCAACGATGCAGTCACACCGCCAACTATCACCTCAACTTTCTCATGTTCACTAGATATACCATATACTGCAAACTGATAGTTTTTCTCATCTGTGTGCTTACAGTCACAATCACCGGCCTCATCACTACCTGAAGAATCACCTCCAACATGACGAACTCGACCTAGCTTTCTTCGATTGAGGTCTATATCTATGTCCAACAGCACTAGATCTTTCCTTGTCTTTGTTCATATCATTATCACTACTTCTACTGAACTTGCCTGTCTTCGTGGTCTTGCATTTCTTTGCAAAGTGATCTCGACCTCTGCTCTAGCTGGACATGATGAATCACTGCTAACATGGCCTTAATTGCCACGTCCACTGTCTGCACTAGGCATGGACTTATCTTTTTGTGAATTCTATCTGGAGCTGAGCTGGTGCACTTGACCATCCAATTTCATGGATTGAAATTGATTTTCCACAGCCTCGAAGCTTAATTGCTGCAATTTTCAATGTTTCCTTGAGGGTCAGCACGTCTCCCTTCTCCAACAGCTTCCGTCTCAGATTGTTGGATTTGCAATACTGGACCACTTAATCCCTCATCTGATTTTCAGAATCTGTTCCAAAATTACATCCTTCCGTAGACGTAATCAGGTTATAAACCAAGCAACAGTTTCTCCCTCCTTCTGGCTCATCTGGCGGAATACATGGTGCTAGAATGTTGCATTTGTCTTCACAACATAATGCTCCTTCAAAGCTTTAACAGCTTTAGCATAATCTGCTTTACTGAATGTTTCCCGAACTGATGCTCCAGCACTGTATAGCAACAATGCCCTCCTTCAAGTGAGTTGCGCCGATGTCGTCTCGTCTTCAACGAATAGCCCTAAGC